GCCCGCCCGCGCACGGCCGGGGCACTTGCGGGGCGGCAGCCCTGCCCTGGGCCCTGCCCGTGCGCTGCCCGCCCCACTGCTGAGGGGCCGCGACCCCCTCCCCACGGCCTCCCCCGGCACTGCCCGGCCCCGCCGAGAGACCCCCGGCGTTACGGGGGCCGGGGCAGGAGAGGCTTCGGCCGCCAGTGGGGAGCGGGACGTGGGCTGAGCAGAACTGTGAGCTGGGGGAGGCTGTGAGCGTGTGGGCAATGCCCGACGCCGCCAGAGATGCCAGGGTGGAGTTCTGGAGGAGGAATCGGTTTGGGTTTCGTTTGGGTTGGCCTCTGATGGTTTTTCTCACAACATGGCGCACTAAAGAGTGAAAATATCCAGTGAAATCAAAATTAAAACATCTCGGCGTCGCTGAAGTAAAAGAGCCAAAAGTGATGTTTGTTTCTGTTCTCATGGGGAATTCGCAGTTAATGAGTCAGCGCTTGTTTTCCCATTACTTGAGCAACACGCCACTGGGAGATGCCTGCCTGGAGATCATTTATGATCTACAGTTCATTTAATTAGCATCATATTACCTAAATTGCATAAACATTCCTCAGCACAAGGACGCAAATTTGCTGTTGTTCAGCTTTCTTCCAGCATTTAACACACAGGTCAAAATTCATTTGGAAAGATGGGAGCAGTGTCTTTTGGATGTTGTATTCCTGGAATAAAGGAATACAGACTATGAAAAGTGACGTTTCTCTGGCTTGTATTTGATAGCTGCATCATAATGTAGCCTTTTTACATGGAGCACTGTCAGAGGTTATTGCTGCTGTCCTCTGAGTTATCCACCCACTGTCAGGAGCAAAGACAGACCATCAGCTTTGATGACTTTGTGTTCTTATTTACCATGAAAGAAAACAAACAAACAAAACCCCAAAACAAAAAAGCTTTGCACAAATTATTCCAAGGAGCACAAATGTCAGTTTAAGTCATTCTTTCTGTGTATCCTCATAAAACTTGTTTCTTGTCACCTGCTTGGGTTTCCCAGCAGTGGCCAGAGGCAGAGCTGGAGATGAGCAGAGCCAGTGCAGTCTTCCCTATGTGCTCTGCTGGAAGTTCCACAGGGCAGAGCTGCAAGCCATGCTACTCTCTCCCTCTGCAGCCCACAGCCTTGCCAGTGAACCTGAGCTGGGATGCTTCTCACAACACACAACATGGTCATAATGTAGCCCTTCTACATAATAAATAACAGAGGCAAATTCAGAAGCAAAAGCCAGAAAATAGGCTTTCAGTGCCATTTATTATTAAATTTGGCAACCAAAGTTAACTCAAACCTATGCACTGAGACAACAGAATGAATGGAGGAATTTGGTGTAACAAGTTTGTAATCTACATGTTATTAGGAATGCAATGAGTGATAGTGGTGCAGGTAGGGCAGAGGTGAAATGGAGCAGGAATAAGACTATTATGGTTCAACAACTGCTTAGTCTGAGAACTCTAACAATAAAACAGTGAGATTGTACAGAAGATTAACCTCTAGGCTGATAAGATTTGAAAAACATGTTTATAAAATTCTCCACAATATTATACAGAAATCAAAGTTACACAGAGGTAATCACTATCATTGATCAAAGAACAGTTGAAAAACAATGTCAGGAAAAGAAATGTACAAGCAACTTTTAAGATGCCAAACTGGGTTTGTTCAGAGGACCATTATTTATTATCCCTTCAGCGCTGTAAGGAATAAAATTTGCAGATGGTTAAGACATTATTGAGTTAGTCAAGCCTAACTTAAATATGTCACCTACATGTTGTATTAAAGTTGAAATTACTTTAGGACTATAGCTTTAGCTGTCTGTAACTGAAAGTATTATCACAGTCTATGGCAACTTTAATTTGTAAACTCAGATAAATGCAGGATAATGGAATTAGGTAATGTATGGCAGACTGCTGTCATAAGGTCTCTGGGCAGCAAAGAGAAAGATCTCAGTGACTGAATGTGGTTTTTAGAAAAAGAACAAGCAGAAAAAGTATAAAGAAAACAAATTAGGAATTGGGGAGATACTGTCACACACCAGGAAGACACAGAGAACAGTTAAATTTCTTAATACATGACTTAAAAAGAACACATACACAATAGACAAATTTTCAGATATATGGGAGATGACTGAGACACATGTTGGGTCCATTGCCTCCTGCAAAAGGGTCAAAAACAGTCTGTCATCCTGAGTTTTGTTTTTGTCCCACCTTCAGCTCCTAAATTTCTCTCAAAAATCCTCGGGTTTACTCAGTATCAACATAAGATCTGTAGGAAGTCAGAGCCTGCCAAGCAAGGAGCCATTTGCTCCCATGTCTTAGTCCTGTCAGAAAAGTCAAATGGTAAGTCAAGAATGACTAAAACACAGATTCTGCAGAAAGTAACAGCTGAAATCAGATGCATGAAAGCAGTGCCCAGCTTCTGGTGACTGCAGCCTGTCAAGTGAATGTGAGCCAGGCAGAGAAGCAACACTGGCTCCTCAAAGCCAAGTCAGACAAGGGTTTTTCATACCTATAGGCCCACACTTCCTTGAACTCCTGTCCTTGGATTTCAGGACTGTTTTGTTACTAACTCTGTGAACTACTCAATCACCCCTTTATATAATTTGCCAGTTTCTAATTATAAAATACTAAAATAAAACCCCTGTGCTTTGCATTTCCTCCTCTATTGCTGCATCTGTTTCTACTCACATGCCTCTTTCCCTTCTTGAAGCAACAGAGCAGCTGCTTTTGGATTTCCCTCATCACAGCATATTTATATAAAAATTTCTTAGCCATGAAAAATTATTTATATTTCAGGACAACCCCTTGAAGTGGATTTTAAAGCTAGAGGGAAATCTCCTTTACATGGAGATTAACAGAAGTGCTAAAAAGCTTATAGGATCCTAGAGCCAAGAATCTGTGAAGATTGGAATGCACTAAATCAGAGGAAGAAGCAGGACCCAGATTAAGTGTTAGAGTACAGGCCATCAGGTGGAACCTAACCTCTGTAATCTTCCCGACTGATCTCAAGAAATCCAACACTGACAGTCTTGGAATATATGCTGACTTTATGGCCAGGTAGTACACACAGTTCCTTTATGTTGTGTAAAGCCTTGCAACAAGCTTGCTATTCTCAAAGTCCACCCAATAAATATAAATGCTAGGGATGGTGACAGCAATGATAATCCAGATGGTAGAAGGCCTCAATGACAAGCAAGGTGATAAGAACGGGTGAGGAAAATTGGCTTGGAGGGTGTGCAAAAGGTATTGTAGACAATTATTCTGGAAAGTATAATTCCTTGGTGTTTTTTTCTCTCCACGCTGCTTCAGAGATCCAAGGAGTAGGTGAACAAAAGAAGAAAACTGCTAAGGAAAAGCAAGTACTCAAGGATCTGCCAGATCTTACATCCATGCAGTTCTTTAGGTTCCCTTTAAATGGGAGGTATCTAACCTCAAAGGATCACAGGATGTTCTTAGCTTTCAAACTGTCAGCTTTGTTATTTGTGCCTCTAAATTTCATCATTGTACTTACTAAGCCTAACTAGCTTACCTCTTAGGTGGCTCTATCACATTTTGACTGACAGTATTTAGGTCTAGAAGAACTGTCAGCAGATATCACACACATCTTTTGACACAGACATAGCAGGAAAGAGTACAAGATCTTTGTTAGTGGAGGGAGAAGGTTTTCTTTTGGGTTCAGCACCTAAACTGCTTTAGTGAAGTTCTTTGGAGGTTAGGTAGTTGTATCATAAGACCAAATGACAAGACTCGAGTAGGTGGCAGGGCCACTCATTTCGGGGTCACACCTGGATGCAGTGCCGAGCTGGAGACACATGGTGAAGCATGGGCTGCCAGGGCTGCTGCTCTGGACAAAGCCAGTGGTGTTCCCCGGTGGAGCAGGGAACCCTGCAAGCCCTCTACTGGCACCGAGAGCTTTCTGCAACCCAAGAGCTTATAAAGGCAATGGATTAGTTTATTACTGTAGTTTAGAAACACAGTTATTTTGATACCCTAAACCTTTGAGAATCTTTCCTGTTGCATTTCAGTGTGAAGATCTGGGTACATGAACAGTGATAGACAATTCCATCCATAACAGTGCAGCAGGCAACCTCTGCAGCACTCAAAATTTTGCAAAAATTACCTTCCTCTACACAAAACACAATGGCTTAATTGCACAGTCTAAAATCTCATCTAAAGAAGACTGCAGACCTCAGAACAACCAAAGTTGTTCAGGGGCTAACTTTAAGCACCAAGCCTGTACTGTCCAAAGCTTTATGCCTTTCAAAAGTACAATTCAGGGAAGAGAAATAATGTTTTGCTCTCCTTCAGCATACTTCATGTGTAGCTCTCACTCTCTGGGAGCTTTGGCGAGGATGCATCATCTGTGTCTATTTTACAGGTTCACAAAGAGTTATGGTGATTTGTGTGGCCCTGCCCGGGGCAGGATTTTTTTCCAGTTTGACACCTCCCAGCCGGGGCTTCATGGGCTTGCCCAAGAGCAGCTTGAATTTATCACTTCTTTGAAAATCCAAACTCCCTGTTCAAAGCCTGGCTTTAACAGAACAATGGCTTTAATTTAACCCTGTCCAGTTTAGATGTGTGTGATGTTGGTGTGGATGAATCATGTGAGTCTGAACTGTGAAGAGTAGATGGGAGGGTATGGCTGAAGTGCTAATATTCACAGCTGCCTCCTTGCAGCAAGAAAAAGATGTAGAAGGAGTGCACAGGATGGAAGGGCACTAGGGCACAAGGTACCTCAAAGGTGCTGGCTTCTGGTTAGTGCACACCCCTCCAGGCACAGGGTGCTTATGCTACCTCTGCATGGCCTTCTGCAAGCATACCAACTTGCTCTGCCCCATCCTCTGATCAGGCCGGATGAGAACTGGCTCTGATCTAAAAGCTGTGTAGCTGTGGTTAGCCTGCTGTGCTGCTTGAGTATCTAAGCCCAGCTCTCAACCTTTGCTTGTGAAAAGCTGTGGAGATATAGACAGCTGTGAGGAAGGCTGTGCATAAGGTCTGTTATTGGAGCAAATGAGCCTCACTCCTGTGCTGTGCACCAGGCATGTACATGACTTTGTTCAGCTTAGAATAAAAGAAGTGAAAAAAGATCGAGTTAGCCTCAAAACTCAGCCATAGTCTAGATTTCCACATCCAGATCAGGGTCGCAGATTAACCCCAAATACCAAAGCTTGAAGTATATAAGCCCTTTTTACTCATCCAGCCTCCATCTCAGTAGGTCATACCAGTTCACGGCAATGACATGAGAAAAAGATTTTAATCTTCTGTTGCTTGCAGCTGACATTAATTAATAACAACAGAGTGCTGGAGATGTGTATAGCCTCACTGCTGAACTCAGGCATGTCCCTCTTCTTCCTCCCACTCACACTGCAGCAAAAAAAAACAAACCTGGGAAAAGTTCTGGGGACCACAGCACCAAACCACTGCTGTTTGTGAGGGAAGAAAAGTTGATTGTGTCTCAGCAAAAAGCACAGAAGTGGTACGAGAGTTGGGGGAAAGGTGTGTTGTCACTGCGTGGATGTTTCTGAGGCAGGAGAACTCTCAGGAGCTGATGTCTGCTGAAAAATCATATTCTCATATTCTAACCTTAACACACTGATTGTATCCCTGCCCTGGCAAGCAATGAATATATGCTCCCTAACATTTAGTTGGGTAGGGTTTTTGAGTAACATAAAAAAAAAAAAAATCATGGATACATACAACTCTGCCTCACTGCTCCAATCTCCTCCAGATCAACAACCAATAAGGTGGCAAAAACACAGCAGAACACAAAGTGAGCACAGGATTATTCACTCAGAGAAACCCTTTTCATGCCATGCCTTGGTTTTTCTTTTCTTGACAGCTTGTGATTTATAACAATACTTTGTCTCTTAGCAGTGATTCCTGATCTCCTTTGATCTCTGTGTGCTGAAGTATTAGCATCCAGGCAGCATTTTTGTATGACTAGTGCTGCTTTGTTCACTATGCTCATTGCAGGAAGCAGCGAGAGGGTCTCTTCTGTCGGCAGCTGCTTTGGTTCAGCACGCAGGAGTTATCCCATTGCTGACGCAGGCTGGCAGCTCTACCAGAAATGAATTCTGAGGTGGGATTTGTGAAACAAGTGCATAAATACTTTGGCACCAGAGCGACATGGGAGCGGAGGTGCTCAGTGTCCCTTGCCGAGGCGGCCGTGGCGGCGGCAGGCAGCGCGGGCTGGCAGCGCTCCGCGGCGCCCAGCAGAGGCCAGCACACGCGCGGCCTTCGGCAGGCCCTGCTCGCCGCGCTCGGCTGACTCCCTCCTGACCGGCCTTCCCCGGCTGGAAAAGTCTCTCAGCCTCCTCTGAGCCCTCGCTTGTGTTCTGCTTTGAGAGAGGTTTTCAGTGAGGAGCTCTAGCACAGCAGAAAGGCCCTGCTAGAGCAGGGACAGGCTTCCACAGGCCCGGACATCGCCCGGTTTATCCAGTTGTGTGCCCAGAAGCGTCCCCTTCCCTTGGAGCAGCCAGCAGCTCAGTGCTCCCCAAGGCTGGGCATGGCCAGATAACGCACACAACACTTGAGAAACGCCCGATGCCAAGGAAATGAAAATGACAGGAATTGCATTGCTGGGAGGAGCAGACAATCGAAAGCAATCGGCAGTGACTGCCCTGGCCGCCTCCCTGCACCTTGCTCCTCCTTTAGGCTCATTTGCAGTTCATTTGCGGACAGCAGTGAGGGCCACACCACAGGACAGGCACGTCGCTCCTCAGAAAGGAACAGCAGATGTGTGAGGAGCCTTGAGGAGAGGCCGGGAGCCGGGAAGGAGAAGCAAGAGACAGCACCAGTACAGAAGTGAAGGGATCTCCTCACACAGCTGGAGCAAGCAGTTTGTGCAGCTCTGCAAATAGCCTTAGGAAAATATATTTTTCCCCTACGCTGTTTAAAAGGGCATGTTGTCCTTTGCTGCTTGGGAGATAAGGACATCCTCCCAAAAGAACCATTCTTTATAACTAAGAGAGACTGCCTCCCAGATACTTATTAATTACAGAAGAAAGCAGAGGTCAAAAACAGCTTGAACCATGCAGATCATGTTTTGTGATCAGGTTTTTGCAGGCAAGACCGGGGCAAAGCCAAGTCAGCATGGAAGATGTGTCTCCTAGGACCAACAATGGCTTGGTTTGGCCAGAATGGCCGAGTGTAACACGGGTAGGAGGCCTTCCAGCTCACAGTCAGCCCTGCAGAGGGAGGACACATTGACTGATGATGCCAAGAATATTGTTTAGGTTTTGGAGAGGATGTTGTTGCAAACCCGTCTCCCAGTCTCACCACTGGCTGCTTATTTTCGTTCTGAGTTGCAGTAATATGTCTGAGACGTTACCAGTGACTGGGTCTAGCAGTTCTGCGGGCATTACACAGAACCCCACCCAGCCTGAAGGACCTAGACTTCAGCAGCTTTGCAGCAGAAATATTGGCTCTGTATCTGTGTGGGCATAGGTCACATATCCATCACGGTAGGACCTTCTCCATCTCCAGCTGAAACAAATCTTAGCATTTTATAGGCAGGAGAAAATGCAAAGGTCACAGAAAGGATGGAGATCTCTCATGTATGCAACTCTGCAAGCTTCAAGTGGGACTCTTGCATCCTGCAGTGAAGAGCATGAGCCTGCAGTGCCCTACACAGCAAACCCCAATCAAGGTAGCAGTAGCTTTTTTCTCTGGCTGTAAACAAGCATCTTGCATCCTCCAGTGAAGAGCATGAGCCTGCAGTGCCCAGACAGCAAACCCCAATCAAGGTAGCAGTAGCTTTTTTCTCTGGCTGTAAACAAGCATGGGAGCATCAGAACCCTAAGGAACAGCAAAAGTGAAAGTGAAAAATCTGGGAGAAAATCCACCAGAAGCTCAAGGAGCCGAAGCAGAGCCTGTACAGACAAGCTCATCTAGAGTCAGGAGTCAGTTGTGTCTCTCAGTCTTAAAGGGACAAATTCCAGAGAAAAGCACCTTGGGAAGAGCCTGTGTAGCCTGACTGTCTCAAAGCATGGCCTGTGCAAGGAATCAGCAGCAGTTTGTTGAACTAATGGTTAGAAGCCTATTGGTGTGAGATCTAACAGAGAGGGGTGGTGTAAGACACAATGAAATTGTTCCTGTAGATGTATTCTGCATGAATATGCAGAAACCCAGTTCCTGGCTGGAATAACCACTATTATTCCCTGTGTCCTTCCCTAAATGTGCTCATCCCTCATCCCAGAGCTACACAGACAGGGAGGGCCAGTGCAATCACCCATTGCCTCAGCACTGCGTTTGTAGGTGGTGGCACCCAGGCCAATGTGCTGACACCAGGCGTCTCTGACCACGGTGCCTGGCACAGAAACTGGAGACAGGAGGCTCACCAACCTCTGAGCAGACCATGGCAGGAGACATCACAGTGTTACCTGCACCTATCCTGAGGACAGCTTGCTGAGACACGACAGTATTTGGTTATCATCTTGCTAGTGCAAACCAGAGAGAGAAAATGAGCACGGCGTGGCACATTACGGACCTTACCCAATCGTTCTGGAGGGCTATGGTGATGGGCAAAACCTATCTGGAAATAGGCTGCTTCTCTGCTCCTGCAAGAAGGATATCTGCAAATTTGGTCTATTTCCCTCATTTAAAAGCCTACCTCAGCAGCACTGCTTGTGCCACTCTATGCTGAAAAGATTGCAGCTGATGCTCCTTGAAGATGGCAGCAATCCTGAGCCACTGTTAGCAGCAGAACCACTGGCAGGTGGGCTTCAGCCTTGTGTACAAAGTGGGGCTGATAAGTGTGCTGCTGGCTGGTGTGGGGTAAGGTGCAGAGACTGCCTGTATGGACTGGCTTGGTATTTCCAATAAATCAGACTCAGAAGTACTCATCTACTCCTGTCTGACCTTTCAGGTTTCATCTGTTTCAATGCATGAGACAGTGCAGCAGCCTTTTGTGGAGCCATGACTGATGGGCAAGGGGAAAGAATGCAGGCTGCAGCTACATGACTTAGCAGGGTACCTTGGAGCAAGAGTCCTGCTAGGTCCTGCTTCTCCTGTGCACTCCTAGCCATGATGCTCCTTCCCAGCTGCACGGCTGGACAAACTGAAGTCTCCACCAGCCAGCAAGGCCTGTGACAGAGGAGCATGTGGAGTTATAGCCACCAGCGGGAGGGAGCCGAGAGGGTCAGCAGGGAAGAGACCTGTGATACTACATGGCATGTCACACTCTTTAGCCAGGTGAAGCCCTGCAGCAAAGAGGGACCCATCCTCCCCAGGGACCTCATCACCCCACAAACTATTGCTCCTCAGCCTGCCCAGCCTGCGTGCATGGGCTCCCCTTCTAAAAGTGGGGTTCTGGTTCCTGGCCCTGGGTTGGACTCCAGCACACGCAGGACTGTTTTCTGGAACACAAGTTCTCCCATCCTGCTGCCTGTGTCTTCACTGCATCACACCAGGCCTTAGGAGTGACTTAAATCCTATTTTGAAAACAAAGAGTTAAACATTTTCAATCTTTATTTTACAAAAATAAACCAGTTTTGCCCTGACACTCTGTGGCCCCCAACCTTCCCCTCCACCCCTGCTCCCTTTCCTCTTCCTGGAGGTCTGGCTGTTGCGTGCCACAGTCAGCTGCTCTTATGGAGGCTGCTGGTGTCGCACACTCCTGTGAGTCTCCCCAAACAAAGACCAGAGAAGAGGGATGGTGCCCTTTTGTGACTGCCCCTTCCTCCCAGAATCCAAGCTGGAAACTGTCCAAAGATGCCTCATGGTGGCTCTGCCATTTCTGCACAGGGAGCAAGTCTTAGGCAAATCACTCAGAGTACATACTTTAAGAAGGAATGTCCGTCTGTCCAATTCCTTCCCTTGGATGGGAAAGCAAGCCCCACAAAGTTACTTCTTGCCATTGGTGGAGCTGGCAGGCTGCTGTCCTGCTGGCTGGCTCAGTGCTGGAAGCGTGGGGAGCTAATGTGGGGCTGGTGAAAAGAGTGTGTGGCATAAAGCACTTCTGGAGGCGGTGGAGGGGATGTCAGGATGGAGCAGAGCGGTTCATGGGAGCTCAGCATCGAGGTGAAGTGCTTCATTTCCTCCGTCAGCTGCTTGATCTCCCGGCGCAGGGCAGCATTCTGTCTCTCCAAGTCTTCACTCTCCTGAGGAGACAAAACCACAGGGGCTTCCTCAGCATGGGATGAGCTAGGTACATGAGGGTTGTGGTCCTTCACCTCTCTGCCCCACAGAATTTCCAGAATGATATATTTCTGGTAAATTCATCACAGAGCCACGCCTGGGCAAACCCTCCTCCCCCAGCTGGCCATGCCGGGTGTGGGTGCGATGCCGGCAGCCCCAGCCACGCTCCCCGGCCCCGGCTTACGAGAACTGACTGTGGCTTGCTCCCGCCCAGGCTTTCTCGCTCCCTCTCATGCACACACACATCTCCGGGCGCTTCCCGGGCAGCCCAGCCCCCGGGGGGGAGCACGGTGAATAACCGCCGTCTTTAACCAGAAAACCACCTGCCACAGGAAACCTGTCATGGCCCTGGAAAGAAGAGACTCACTGCTTCCTGCTAGCAGCCGAGGAAAGCAGCGGCGCGATGGGGAGGAAGGGGAGACGCTTGAGTCAGAAGAAAAGAGAAACTAAGGCCTCAGAAGAACTGAATTAATACTGGTATGAATGAGAATAACAACAAAGGGGTTAATAATGATGCCCAGCCTTGTCTCAAAATACTGAGAGCATCAAAGCCTTTGATACCTCTGCTTCTGCTGAAGTGTAGCCAGCTCCAGGCTGAAGCATTGCAGGCATCAACTGACCATGGAGCCAGCAGGCTGGGCAGGACCAGAGGATTGGAAACTCAGCTAAGAGTGCTAAAGCAAGACCCAGCATTTGGAGGCTCTGGAAAGCTGCACCACCACCTTGGCAAAGCAAACCTTCTGCTTGCCCCTCCACTGCCATGCTGATTCCAGATGGTGCCCACTCTGTGCACAGGTTGAAATGCACCCAGCAATTACAGCAGCTCTCACAGCAGGGGCTCACACAGCAAACAGCATCTCTCAAGCCTGACCAAATGGATTGGAAATCATGACTGTTGAACTCAGGAACTGATGGGAATCACCCAGAGGCCAGGAGTCCCAGCTTTCCTATGACTCATTCCTCTCAAAACACAAGCTAGAAAACCCTGGGGCAGATGGAGCTGGTGGCTCCTTTCATACCACCATAGCTCAAAAGGAGCCATGCTTTTCTGTGAAGAACCACATCAGAGAAACAAAATCCCTGATGCAGAATCGACCAAAGGCAACGAGTGCTCAGGGAATGAACCCAGGAGCAACAGGGGGTCACTGTCCACTGGAACTGAAAAAAAACTAGCAGAAATTTATCATCCATCATCTACTTGCCTCCCTGCATTTTTTCATCTGCCTGTCGGAATCCAAACTGGACTTAGCCCCACTGCCTCATCCCAATGGGAAGGCAAGTGCTATCAATGGTAGCTGAGCAACAGTAATCTCATAAGCAAGTGCTCTAAGAAAAGCAGCCCAATCCTGTGTGGTGCACAGGTAGGCAGGATTTTCCTGGAGGAAGCTCAGAGCCCATACCTACCTCTAGGATTACTGTAGAGAGAGCACTGACCCCCTGGAAAGGGTATTTTCTCACCTTTCTCAGATACAGCTGCTCAGAGCCATTGCTGCTGGCTGATGTAATGCAATCAGCCTACAGCCATGTCAGCTCCAGAAGGTTCATCAGCTATGGAGAAAAGAGTAAAATCTCTCCCTTAAACCTAGCTCCAACCATGGCCTAAGGGCACTATGTAAGGAGGAAGGGTTAGAACTGGATTCTCAATAATTATTTCCAGTAACGGAAATATGGAGACTGCTAAATCAAAGGATGTTTTTTCAAACATGACCTCAGCTACCACTTTTCAAAAAACAGTCAAGCCCAGCACAGGGATAAAGATGGTTTCTGCCCCTGCAAGCTGCATGTTCTTCATCCTTCTCATGAGTGGCCCAAAATACATGGGAAACACTTATCAATGTGCAAAATAGAGAGCATCCCAGCCCTTATACTCCAACACTGACCACATATTTCTGCCCAAAAACACACAGCCAGAAGTGACCATCCCTCCTGAAAGTCAGATATCTAATTCTTCACACTGGGAAGAGCTGTTGGACTTTTCTGTGGCCACAGTGGCACAGAAAAGTATCCTTGTATGCTGCTGCACCTTTGCATAAGTAGTGGCATGAATCTCAAACCTGGGGAGAGCCAAGCTACATGAGACTATGCTTTCAAAGAGCTCAGTCAGAAGAGGTTGGGAAAGGAAATCACTAATGAAAGACTGAGAGAGAGAGAGAGATAAAGATGGATTCAAAACTAGCTGCAAAACTAAACACTTCAGTGGCAGCCATCCTGGGCTGTGTGCTCTCACTGCAAGTGCTGACTCCTGCATCCTGCCCTGGCCTCACTTCTCCTGTCCTGCCTCCACTGAGCATGTCTGCTCCAAGTCCCAGGGGAAAAGCACAGTTGGTTCATATGAGTCCTCAGCACCAGGGATGAGAAAGGGTGGAAGTGCTCACCAAGTGCAGTGTGTCTGCTTTCTGGGTCTGCCTCAGGCGGCTCTTCTGGGCAGCAATGCGATTCTTCTCCCTCCTTTGGACTTTCCTCATGTCATCAGAAGAGTCCTAGGGAAAAAAGGCATGGAAATAACTGGGTAATTCTCTCCCTCGCCCTCCTCCTGCAGGGCAGTAGTTGGGAAAGGGACATAGCAGATAACATTGTTGAAGCACAGGACACACACTCCACACCAGTATAAAGCTGTAGCCCAGGGGATGTGTGATGCTTTTAGTACCCCTATTTCTAGGAGGGGCACATCTGACATCCTTGGGGATCCCAGCACAGGTGGGAAATGACCACTCTTTCTTCACCAACACACTGGCCTGGGATATAGTTTGATGGACCAGAGTAAGGAGCTCCCTCTGGAAAAAAGACAATTTGAATTCTTCTACAGAAAAACCGTTTCCTTTCCTGTCTCTCTGCAGGGCAATGGCACTGCAGACATTCCAGCTTCCTTGGATATACCATTTTTCCAGATAGTCAGCCTGTGTTTTCCTCTTTTCACCCCTGTTAGTCCCTCCCTTCTCCATCACCCTCTGTATCAGGCTTTATTTATTGCAGACCCTCACAACACAATATGAACCCTGCTTTGTTTAACTAGACAGACTCTGAGCTTTTTTTTTAACACAGATCTTATCTGCTCCACCTCTCTCATCTCCATCCTTGCTCTTTTCTGGAGTCCCTGCTAGCAATGCCTGTAGTGCTGACTGCAACAGTCCCAAGCCCGTCAGGCAGGGGACAGCAGAGGTCTCCAGGCTTCAGATCATGAGCTTCATGCATGAGCCATTCTCTGCTGAGATCTGGTCCTTCTGCTGCCTTCTGACAGTTGAAACTGTCACACAGACTTTCATCTTCTATTTTCATATTGCACTGCCCCTCTTGCGGACTCCTTAACATTCACATCACCACTTCTCCACAAGACTACAAAACTCAGCCACAAAAGTTATCTTCCCAGCCCATTTATCTGTCCACATCCTCTCCCCCCTCCCCCAAACCCAATACATTTTTCTTTGAACCTAACCGTTTTATCCTTGCCTTCAATACCCTGAAAATGTCTCAGATACAGCAGCTCCCATATCCTGCATCAAGTCCAGTCCCTATCCTTTGGAAAACCTTGTGCTTTATCCCTGTCTTTTCCAGGATGAAAGCCAAGATGCATTCCCATCCTTGTTTGGAAGCCAAAATCATCTGCCTTGATGAACCCCAAGATTTCTGAGCAAAGTCTCAGGCACTTGCTCTTGTTGCCAGCCCTAGAAAAATGGCAAATGACAGATAAAATAAAGTTTTGCCAGAAAAGGCAGTGAGAATACCTCAGACTTGGGTCTGTATCTGCCAGCAAAAGATTTACCATTAATGTACGCCATGCAACAAAACAAAATCCCTCTGTGAAGCATCACTGACATGAAACACTGCTGAGGCTGAACATTAAAGAAAGCAGATCCAAAGTAGCAGGGCTTTTCTGGGTCCCCAGTGCTGTCCACTGAAGCAGGAAGCAGGCAGGTTGCCCCTGAGCAGCACCTGGAGGTGCCTGCTCAGGCTCCTCGCCAGAACACCAAGTCACACCAAAACTTCCTGCCTGCCTGGCATGTATCACAGGATCCACCATGCCTGGGGGTCCTGGGCCCCCAGCTGCCCCTGGTATAGCCCCAGGAAACCAGATCATCTCTCTCTGCCCATACCCAACTCAGTGGCTGGAGCTTCTGCCAGGGCCCTTGGCTGAGCCCTGCATGTCTCTCCCCACAGCCATTCTTAGAAAGCTCTGCCATATTGCACTGTGAAAACACAGACAGTGGGTGCCACTCTACTTCCTGCCCACCTGTGGCCCACCCTGAAATAGCTGGGGAGAGCTGGGAAAGAGCCCCTGCTTTACCTGCTTGCTGGGAGGGGGAGACTGGCTGAAGCTGCTGGAATCACTGCTGTCAGAGCTGTGGGGCATGGCTGCTGTTCCTGGCTCCCAGGGTCTCTTCAGCTTCCTTTGTGCTCTTGGTGTTCCTTTCTGTCTTGCTTCTCTGCCTCTCCTCTGTCCTGCTCTGTCACCTCTGATGTGGCCCTTGGCTTCCTACTCTCACCTGTCCCAGAAGCTCTCTGTCCCCCTGCCCAGCACTCCGACACTTTCGCTGCCTCTCCTCTCAGAGCCTCTGCACCTTCCCTTTAGGTCTCAGCCTCCTGTGGTTTCTCAGAACCTCAGGGATGTAAGCTGAAAGTCACGTGGCCGGAAACTTTAAGGCAAAGAAGTAAAGTTACAGAAGAAAAATTTTTTTAAAACCAATTGAAAAAAAAAAAAAAAGAAGAAGAAAAAAAAAAGCACATCTGGGAAAAACGAGCTTCAAAATAGCCTGAAAAACCCCCGAAAAACACCTTTAGGCAGTTGAAAAACAACGTGATGGGTTTTCTCTGAGACAAACAGCAGAGATGGAAAGGAAGAAAAGCCCCAGCTCTGGCTGTGAAACTTGGACCCTCAAAGGAGGGCTGTGCGGAGGAGGTGACACTGGGAGCCCCAGAAATTCCAGGGGTACTGTGTCCTATGCCAACCCTATGCAGGCACGGTGTCAGTCCAGCCCCAGGCAACCTCAGTCACCCCAGCACAGCTGAGGAAATTCTCAAGCAGCCACAGATCTCCCCACAACCCACCCACCCCCTCCTGCCGCCCCCGACACCACTGACGCGGGTCCCGGGGAGGGGACGGGACATAAACACTGCTCCTGCAGGTGGTTCACGTGGGCACGATGTAGCACCAGTCCCATTTAAGAAGAAACGCTCAGGATCATAGAACATTTGGACTGGGTTGGGTAGGACTAGTATTTTCTATAAAGCAAAGCTATTTAGCACGTTAAAACATTCATTCGTATGTCATCACTGGCCATAAGAGAATAACAGCCCTGGCAGACAAAGTGCTGTAAATATACAAATCTATGGATCAGCCCATGCAGACAGGAGCAAGGAGAAGCTGCTTTGGATCCCCTTCTTTGTCAAACAGTCTGTGCTCTCTGGGACTACTTCTACCCTCAGTACGAGCCTCAGAAGTCTAAAGATGTGCAGTCAGCCCCTAGGACAGCAGTGCTCAGAGGTACCCTCAGAGTACCCCATGCTAGTGGCTCTGGAGGTGACAGTGCAGGAGTAGGAAGTGCCAAAGCAGGGACCATTTGCTTTCTGCACTGCTCGTGTCACCAGATCCAGCAGGGTGAGCCAGGGCCACATGCCAGCAGGCTCTCCATCCACAGACAGAAGCACACGACTTCGGAGCTGCTAAGTTCTTGCATGTGCAATAAGGAGCAGATCTAGAAACAGGCATGAACCCATCTACAATAACCCACTACTGTGGAAAACAGCACCTCTCAGTTCCCAGCTTACTGTTTTTTTGTTGTCTGTGAGTCTTTTAGTTCAGTTTCTCCTGCTCCAGGCAGGAACTCAAGCAAGTCTCAGCAGCAGGACATAGGTAAGGGCACTTGAGATGCAGTCATCATTTGGGAAAGAGTATTGGAAATAATTTCTCTATTGCAGCACAGAATACACACTTCCAGAGAAGCATGTGCTTGGATGACAGTGCAGACTTGCATGGGCACTGCTAGCATTTCTTCCCATCCTTGCCAGTCATGGAGCCAACAAAGGAGAAAACATGGCCAAAACCAAGATCTGCTGCAGGCTGGGTGGCCCAGGGAAATCTCCTGATTTAGCTCCAATAGTGAAACTACTCCGTTTGATCCATTTCCCTTTTTAGGAACATCCTGTGGCACTGGTGTTCTACTCTTATCCCCTTTATCTGAACATTTCACAGCACTGAGTGTATTTTTCCTCCTGGTCTGCTGTATGGAAATGCTAGGATCCACCACACTTTTTAACATGGCTGCAAGGGTTTGCTTGGCATGACCCACACTGAGGGACCCAATTTCCTGGAAGCACAGCCTCCCTGTGGCACACAGGGCTCTTCTGGTGCAGCTGGCTCCAGAAATGGAGTAGCCAAAGGGATCAGTGAGGTGAGAGGTGCTGAGTTCAGGCCTCCCAAGGCAGTAGCTAGCAGCACAACCCTTGAAGGATCCATTAGCTCGCTGCATCACTACACTTCCTCTGAACTCTGCAACCCTGTGCAGCACTTCTTTTCCAGGAAGCACACTGCTGGATTCCCACTCTCCCGAGGAAACCACACTCTTCTGCTGGTGAGCAGGTCGCAGAGACTGCCTGGCCTGTCCTGCTCTGCAGGCTGCTGGATGGAGGGAGCTCCTTCCTCAGAGAAAAACATCCTTGTTCCGTTACTCAACAAATTAGCTGAACTCCTTCCTTTTGAACCTAGCAGGGCCAGCGTCTGGGAGGCAGCTGGGAAGGTGGTGGGGCTGTTGGCAGAAGGTAGTGAGGGACGCTGAGTGTCCTGGCAGGAGCTGGACAGTCAGTGCAAAACTGTCCACAATGTGGCTATGGCAAAGGCTGTTCTTTGATCCACAGGAGGAAGGCTTTGAGTGCACCTTGATTTGCCCTGATCTGGGCTTTTTTTAACAGCTGATGAAGATACCTCAGGAGAGAGCAACAGCATGGGAGAGGGTCTGTACACTTGGTCTTTCTGAGCAGGAATAAGAGAGCATCCCTTTCTTTGCCTTGTCCAAACACACTCTTTTCTCTTGAACTGGCCATGATGTTAATGAACTCTTGCCACTTATGAGCAATAAGTAAGTGAGACAAGTGTCTCCTGGTGGGAAGAGGAGGAGAACCTTCACAATGCTTCTCTGGGTTGGGCTGGACCCATGTTGTCTCCTCACATGCAGAGAGAGCCCCCTGCCATTTCTCTGGTCAGAGATGTGATCCCCCAGCCCAGAGCAGCAGAAACCACCAGTATGGCTCCACCAGCATCTGCTCACAGCTTTGTGGAACTGACCTGGGCACCTGCTGCAGGCACAACATGGGAAGCTGATTTCCTACTGCCCCTGCCCAGGCTGTCTGCCTCTATGAGGGGGAGCTTCAGGAGTCAGTCTCCTAATGTCTGTGTGTGACTTAGGTGACTAAATTTACACTGTGAATAACATTCCCTGACTTTCTCTCTGGGATCATTAATTTTCTTTGATCTTAATCACAGTACCTGTGAAATCACTGTCAGTGGCACTGGAAAAACTCACCGATGTTAGGCAACTGCCATACCAGCAGCTTGATGGGAGAAAGGATGGTTCCAGAGGTTTTTAGGGGAAGGACACGTCCAACCTTGTACTTGTCCCTTGTAAATTACAGCAGGCAGTGCTGAAGGGAGTCTCGTTCTCCCAGGAAGAGTGGCTGCAGGGACTCAGGAGCCTGGGCTCAGTGTGATCTTGACTGCGGAGAAATGGTTTGAAAGCAGCAAAGGCAGTTCAGCAAGAACAAATGCAAATGTAAAGTGAAGCGAGCTATAGGTAGAAGATCTGGGGAATAACCCATGGGGCAGCAGAATAGGAGGCAAAAATCCAGGGGTTTCAGAGCACTGAAAACTGAAGCTTTGCCAGCAGCAAAGGGGTCAGGTATTGACTTGGAGTTCTGGGCAGGGCAGAGGAGATTATTGCCTTGTGCTGCCTGTGCAGGACCCTTTCAGAGTCCCACACCAAGTGGAGTAGTCTGGAAGAAAACACAAAGGATAAACACACAAAAATATTGCCCTTAGAGAAAGGAGTGAAAAAGTTGTACCCATTTAGCCTAGAAGAGAGAAGTCTTGGGGGTGGGAAGTGGGTGGTGAGGAAGGAACAGTCTTTCATATGTTGTAATGGAAAGGGTAGTCAGCTGGTTTCTGTGCTGCCAAAGCAGGGTAAGAAGCAACAGGCTCCAAATGCAGCAGGAAAGGTGGAGGTCTGATATTCAAAGCAAGATGAGGTTAGGAAGACCTTGGAATGGACAATTCAGGAAAGTTATTCAAGCCCCTTTATATGAAGCATCTGGGAAGAAACCTCTCTCAAGAGAAATCCAAGTTGAATCCTGCCTCTGTGGGATGGATTATGTTATGAGTTATATTCGCAGGGTTTAAATAAGGAAAAAGAAGAAAAAAAAAAGAAAAAAGGGGAGGGAAAAAAGGTGTGCTAGTAGGATTGATTCGTCAGAACCAAGAGAGCACATGGGGTATTTTTCAACCAGCTTTGCTTCAAAGCCTCTTTCCCTATGTCCCCCCTGTGCAACCAGCTTCCTCAGCACAGGTGAGTGCTGGGGTTTGCTTGTAAACCTGCTGCTCCAGAGCTCTTGCCTGCAGCAGGCTTATGACAGCAACATTCAAAACAGCATCTCAGCCCATCCGCCTCACTCATCTCGTTTGCACGGCCATTCAGTGCATAGTGCTATTTAAAAATCCAGCCTAGAGCAGTTACCAACTTCAGCCTCCTGTAAACCACCGAGGTTGTTTCTGCTTCACATGTAGCATTTTATGCAAATAATGTCTTACAATATTTGGACAATTGCAATGACTTCTTTATAATTCCTTGCATGAGTTTGAAGACTCTTGCAGAAATCAGTGCTGAGAATGGCTGTGTTGAACAAAGTCCCTGCTCTCTACCAGATGCTTCTGCCATGTCCTGCTCTGCCAGCACCTGTTGTCGTGTCTGCAACGTGTGCAGCTTCCCCAGTCTCTGTCACCAGGGCTATTTAATCTTGACTGAGCTGAGTGTGAGAGTGAGGTTGTGCCAGGAGAGCTGAAGCATAGTACCACCAGATTCATCCCACTTGGCACAGAGCAAACACCAACACTTTCAGTCCTTACTGGGTGCAACCAGCCAAAGTACAGGAAACAGGTACTTTACACCCAGAATGTCTGATAAATGACAAGAGCTGCAAGTCAAGCATTCAAAATTATGGAAATCCCATCATTAAATCCCTAAAGCACACTGCATTTATGCCCTCATGCTGTGTAACATGGTGTGCTCTGTAGCTGCACGATCCACTAGGGTTTACTCCCTGGGATGGCCGTGTTACCTTCACATGTTACCATGTTGTCCTGCAGTCAGCGTGCTCCAACATCCTGCTTTTCCATTTCTTCACAGACTCTTTCTAATGCTCGGCACTTCAGCACTGAGTGAGTGCTTCAGGGGTACTAATGAAGCTGTTTTCTCAGGCACCTTTTCAGGTCCAGAGCTGAGGATGAAGAGATGGAGTTATACCTATTTAGCAGGTGCAAAATAAGAGACAAAGAAGATTTAGGTCGTAAGTACTCATTCATTTTGGATACACATTTTAAACCAACTAGGATCTAAATTTTTTCATGGTTTTGGCACTATACAGCACTTAGTTTAGTCAAACCCCAGATCCTGATGTCTGTGACTGCATCTGCAAATCTTTAGCACTTCTGTAAAGCAGCTTGGGAAATGAGGAAGACGCGGCTGCTCCTGTGAAAGCTCTTGCTCATGTGGCTCACCAACTCACAGAATAACTTCAAGACAGGGGTAGACACAGACCAAGCTCTCCAGGGAGGCATCAGCTGTCTACCCAGGAGAACCACCTTTCTCTCTGCAATCTCCTGCTTCACCAACTTGACAGGAGTTTCCCAGCCTTGCTAAGAAAGGAGACAGCCTAGCTGTCCAGCATATTGCTCCCTCCCGCCAAGGTCCAGCCTGGGTGCTGAAGAGGTGTGAATCCAGGGCAAAATGCAGGAAGTAGTCATATGTACAAGACAGCTGAAGCTAGGCTGCCCAGGCAAACCCATTTCTGGAAATTCCTAGGTCTTTGGTACTTGGCTTTGCCACTTTTATGTGTTTTTTTTTTTTTGACTGTCATTAGTAATGCTGCTTTTTTTTTTTTTTTTTTGATCCATATTTTAAAAGAAAGAAACTGTAGCAAGAAAATGCCAAATGTGCTAGCTTTCCAGATATGGACACCAAACTCCAGGTAGGTGAGTCCATCTGACCCCACTGGAGAGGAAGAGCAAGCTCAGGAAGAGCTGAAGGGTTGACAGGAGGTTGGCAAGGTCAGACCTCCTGCACATGGGGGGTTTCAGTCTCAAGGCATCTATTATTAGATTTTACCCCAGGCTGTTTTGAAGGGATGAACCACATTCTCCTTCTCCTGTCCTGTACAGATCAACTGGTTGTGTATTTAGTTGAGCAACCTCTAATCTGTTCCTGGCAAGGACTTAGTAGCTCATAAGCAAGTACTCAGATGTACACTTACAAGAGTCTCCAGGTTAGCAGATCTCAAACCCTGGCAGAGTACATCCATTCAAGGCCAAACTTCCTCTCACTGCTGTCTTCACAGGCCTTGTCTACCTTCTGGGATCAGTCAGAAATGAACCAGGTCACCCAGCTGCGCTCGGGACACTGAAAAGGTTCAGCTACCAGACGCCCCCCAGTCAGCCAGGGTTTCTTTGCTTCCGCTGCCCGGGCTGAGCCCACCAGCTGAACTATCCAAGCGCATGGACGTGCTGTGCGGAGGGCGCAGATGTGTCTGACGGTTTGACTCATCTCGGTGGCAGTCTCGTTCGGTGATGGTGGGGAAGGCCCGAAGAGGAAGGGCAGTGACCCGTTTAACCAGAAGGGCTGATCCACCCAGGGGTAGACTTACTGGTGATGGCAAGGGGCCGTGGCCCCAGCTTCCTTTGTGCTTCCCAGTGTGTGCATTTCCAGGCGATACAAGAGCGGGGGAGGCACATGTGGCTGTTCAGCCACAGGACTCAACCTTGGCACTCTGCTACTGCTGCAGTGAATCCAACTGCATCAACCAAGCAGCAGACATTGTACTCCCAGGGCATGAACAATGCCTGATGGAGGATTTGATGTTCACAGGGCTTTGGTTGAAGCCATGATCCATGGATGCTGTTTCTTAAATTAATATATGATTCTTGAGTGCATTACATTGCTGCATCATGACTCCATTCAGAGGAAAATATATTTCAACACCACCCATCACCACAAAAGATGTTCAAGACTCCCAAGGATTGAGTAGAGCTTATTTAGGGCATGTTCTTGCAGATAGACTCTGAGACACCCACCTCAGCAGGAGATGGCTGTGAACAACACTCATGCTAGTACTGTACTTTCACCCCAATGGGATCTGCTTCACTTTTGGGTTACGGGGTGTGTGCACTGGTTTTCCTTTCTCTCCACTCCATTTGGTAGGAACAAGAGTTTCCCAAATCCTTCATCTCATGCAGCCTGATTGGAGGAGGCGTGCAGCACAAGCAGCACGCTGACAGGCTCATGTGCAGTGAGCCTGTGCCCTGGCATGTGTGGTGTTTGTACAAGAGGTGCTGGAGCCCCACACGTCAGAGGCAGTGTGGGGCAGGACAGGCAGCCTGGGGCAGAGTGGCTGTGCAGGAGGGGACAGGGGAGCTGTGCAGAAGGTACACCTGGTGCCTGTGCAAGTAGAGCTGAATGGCAGAACCACACTGGCAGAGTTACCAAAATACACAAATGGGTATAAGCCCCATTGGCCTGGACAGTGCACACATGGCACACCCTGGCACACACAGCTCTCGCCTGCTGCCAGCTGTCTGGGAGACAACCCAGAGTCCCAGAGCAGGTTGCTGAGGGGGCAGCAGCAGGGCTGAGTCTCTGACCCAAACCTGGTCCACCCCCCTGAGCCCCCAGCCAGGGCTCTTCAATGCCTTTTTGAGAGAAACACAAGGAAGGAGGCCCACGGTCAAACGCCCAAACACCAAGGGAGGACTTGCTTAGTGCTGGCTGTTTCAGAAGGTTGGTAAAGTCCCACAAGTTTCCCCTGGGGGCTCAGAGCAGCAGATGGAGGGAGGGAGAGGGAGCAGTTTCAGATGATCACCAATCCTGTGCTTTCCACCCTTGCATTTTGGTACCCTGCCAAGAGAGAGGTGCTCTGTAATCAGCCTCCCAGGACATGGCTACTTTTCCTACAGCTTTGTATGTGGCTGCCAACACCAGTGCCCAGATACAGGTGACCTGCAGCCTCCCATGGCACCTCATCCCTCATGGTGCTTCAGAGACAGGATGAGGGAGACATGCTACACCCTAAGCCATGCCAGCAGTGATGGTGCAAGGCTCTGATTTGAAGACTTGGTCTCCTGGTGTCATGAATAATGCCAAAAATGGTTTCAAAGAAGGGACAGGAAAATAGAAACTCCTTGCCACCATTCTTTACCTGAACCTCAGTGTAGATGTCCAAGAATCATACCATCTTTAATCTTATTTAAGCCAAAGTTTTTTACTTTAGTTTTGGGTATCCTTGTTTTTCATATCAATACCTGATCCTTTGTGAGCCATCTGAAACTGTTGGCCAGCAGGGCATCTTGTCCACCTGCACAAACCAGTTTGCTGGCTCTGTGAGAAGTGTGTCAGTTTACCAGTTTGAAATGAGTTGTCTTTCCATTTCTTTGAACATCTTGTGAGGGGGTGAGCAGAGCAACAGACTTATCTCTAAGCCAGGAATTGCTCTGCACATCTCTATCATGCGGCATTTCACTAGTTTCCATTCTAAACTAGTGGGACTTTTAGTCCCTGCACAGGGAAATTTTCCTGCAGACCTAATTTAGGTCAGCACCCATCTTTGGATGTCTACTGATTTCATAGCAGGAAAGACAGACGCAAACACAGTAGCCCAGAGAAGCTTCCCCCCATCTACTATGGCATTACACTTATAAAGGATGGATATACTCTTCTTCATCCCATTCCTCGTGCAGACTTCCTCCTTTCCCCACTGCTGCACAGTGAGAGGAACCCACCAGGTAGCTCTGTCTTGAATTTGGAGCACAGCCTTGAACCCTTTGACATATCTAAACCACCCAGGTGCCAGCTGGCACTGAGGCACACTCCAGAGCATGGCTGGGAGAAATGCAGAGCTGCTGCTAGCCCAGCATGCAAACTCAGCTGCCAAGCAGTGTGGGACCTTGCAGCCACAGCAGATGGTTGCTGTCAGATGAAGAAATGTGCTGCTCCAAAGCCCTGCCTGAATGAGGCTCCATGTCACACAGGGTACACTGGCTTCTTGCATTGCTCCTAAAACTTGTGCACGTAATCCAGCAACCTGCAGGTTTTCAACAGACAGCGGAACAGGTGCCTACATCCACTTTGCAGACACAGAGAACACCTTGCACCTGCAGCTGAGGGGGTTTGTTTGGACCAGTGAGTCTGGCTTTGCCATCATGCTGCCCGGTCATACAGCAGTGCCAGCATGCACCAGCACCTGACTACCTTAGCCACTCATCCATTACCTGCTGTCTGGAGTGAGACAGTGAATCAGGTCACTGCCTCCAGGGAAGGTCTGCACAGAAGAAAAGGGATGCCTCACTTGGCAAACACCTGCAAAATGCAGCAGTGACTCTGCTTGGCACCCACGGAGTTTGCCTCTGTCACAGAAGTCAGTAGCCCACTTACTGAGAGGCACCTGCCAATACCCCCACGTTAGCTGTAGTGCAAACCCCCTCCTGCTGCCTGTCTGATCACCGAGAGTTCAGCACCACCTTGAGATGAGCTGTCAGTAGCCACTTTATCCTCAGCCAGAAACTACATGTTAGCCTGCTAGTGTCTCCATTGGATCTGGGAGCCCGCAGGCCTGCAGCACAGCCTTGCTGCCCAGGTCTTTCTGACAACCCCATGACATTTCAGCACAAGCAGGTATCCAGCAAATCCAACCAGCCCAGATGATGCTGCTGGAATTGGGGCCATGGCAAAGCAGAGGCAGGAACTGCAGTGTCAGGAGTCAGGACTTCCCCTGACAGTGTCACAGATGACAACTCAGCAAGTTCATTCTGCAGAAACTAGATAACATCAGCACAAGGTGGTGGTTACTGGCAAACGATCCTGTTCCTGAAGCTTCATCTGAGACGTGACAGGCTGCTGTGAAACCCTCTTGTCAAGCAGACCAAACTCTGCTTTTGCTGAAACCCATGTGGCCTTCTGGGAGCAGCTTCATGCTGGTATTTCCTAGGAACACTAGGTTGCAATGCTGGGAGCCAGGGCTGGAAAAGTCCATCACCTTGATAACGCAGGGCCTTTTTGTCTAGCAGGTCCCTTGAACTACACAGGGATGCAGAGCTGTCAGTCTTACCTACCGTCACCCACCTCCTGCCTTAAGCAGCAAAAGCTTTTCCTTCTCCTCAGGGCCTAACCTTTTTCCAATCCCTATGGCACCCTACTTAAACTCTGCACAAGCACAGCAGGACACAGGACTGGAGAGAGGAAAGTCCTGCCTTCCTTCCTTCTTGGAAGGGACTGAAGTTCAATAAGTCGGCATTAAAGCCATCCTAGTACAACTGGGCTCACTCCCTGCCCCTGGGTAGGCTTTGCTCACAAAGAAATTTTCAGGCCAGGCAGTCATACTACTGCCTGTTCTACCAAAAATAGGTCCCTGGGCAGAAGTCTACTTGAGTTGGTTACTCCACTTAACAAACCAAGCCAAAGAAAACCCACTTTAACTCCACAGCAAGGTACCTGGAGCAGGGCTTTCACCACCAAATTAGCCCATCACTTTAGCTAATTGGGAATAACTTCTTGCTGACCCTGACAGACAAAACCAAAGGCTCAACACCATTAAGCTCTCTCATCCCACAACCACACAGTGCATCTTCAGCCTAAACTCAGCCCCAGGTGACGCATGGGCTGCAAAGCCTGGTTCTGGCCTTTGTGAGCTGCTCTGTATCTCCCTGCTAGTCTCATCACCAGCTCCTTCACCACCTTCTGCCCAAGTGTGTGGTAGGGAGCTGAAATATCTGTGCTGGGCAGGAGACCCAGCTGCATGCAGGCAGAGTCACTAAGGCTGTCACAGGTGCTGAGGCTTGGGGAAGCATTACAGGCACTGGCTGTGCCTGGAATTACAACTCGGTTGCAGTAGAGGAGTCAGCCTGAGCTGACAGGTGCTCCCAAGGGTTCTGCTCCTGGGGATTCAGAGAAAAGGCAAACTCCAGCCAATTATGTCAGGGGTGCCAGCCCTTCCTGGTGGCCCAGACCAGCAAGATCTCCTGGCTGCAGGGAAGGATCTTTTCCTCATATGGAAAGTGTTGGTGACAGAGCTGCTGACAGCAAGCTCCCTGCCCATGGAGCTGGCTACACCTCTGACAGCAGCTGCCCTGCCTGCCTCCAGCACCCACCTGGGAGATGACCCTGGCCACCCCACCAGCTGCATGGTGTGGAGAGACTCAGGCCCATAGCCAGGGACAAGTGACCCACCCAGCTCTGCCCACAGAGCGGTTTCCTGAGCCCAGCAGGAGCATGATGCCTCCATGTGAGCATGGGATGTACATGGACCCAATTCCCTTCACTTGTGCCTACCTCCCACCCTCTTGCCCCCCCCCACTTCAACTGCCAGCAACCAGTTATCACAAATAAGCAAAAAGTGTGCAAAGCCATGGGGAGCCAGGTGATACTTCCAGGCTCAGGGAAGCAGCAGTTGGTTTCTCTCATTTCTCTGTGAGCATCCTGGCAGCACAGGTTTCCCTGGCTCCAGTCCTGTGGCTGCCATGGGCCGTGCTGGTGCCAGGAGCGCTCAGCAGAGTATGGCACCCATGGTAATCAAAGCAGTTTCCGTGACTCTTGGTAAATATCAAGGCTGGGGATTTCTGGGGCTTGTTTTCCAGCAAGTTGAGTAGAAGAACCAATAAGGACGAAGACAAATTAATACCTGTTGCCCTTGGCTCAAAATGAAACAAGACAGACAGGTCACTGGCAAAGGTTAGTTAATACCACTTACCACAGAGTTAGGGAGTTACCCTCAGCTGCTGACAAGAAGGGCAGAGGAGGCAATTTTTCATAGACAAAGTGAGAACAATACTATGAAAACTGCAAAGTAATGACCTCCAAGCAGCCTCTGCTGCAAGCCAAGGGAGGGAAGGGCTGATGCCCTGTTCCCAGGACTGCACAGATACCTTGCCTGCAAGGGGATGGGGGCAGTGGGCTGGGAGAGGATGAGGAGGAAAGGAAGAGGGCCACAATGAAGCTTTGGGAGCATGATGGCCTGCTCAACCTCTTTGGGAGGAGCTGATTGCAGGAGAGAGGGGAGAAGAGCTGGCAAGACACTTCTGGGGAAACAGAGTTCTCACTGCCCATGGGCCCTGACACTTTTCGAGGATCCAGCAAAAAGGAGAGAGTCAGGCATGCAGCGTAGAGCACTCACACCAAACTACTGTATCTGGACTCCCAGCTAGTTTATCCCCCGCTGGCTCAGGCCTGGTGATTATGGGCAAAGTGGGACCTACCTTTCCTTAGGAGTGAAGAGGAAAGGGTGGCTTTGCAGAGGGAACTGGGGTAATATGTGGAGGGCACCAGAGAGCTGTTACAAGCACAGAAAAGTAATGTGGCTCACCTACCTGGGATTCACGAAAAATACGGTATCACATCACTCTGGCCTGAACTACTAGTGAGTGTGAGAAGGAGCACAAGAGTTACAAATGTGGATCTGAATGTGGATTTCATAAAACAGAAGATGGGCGTGTCCTGGAGGAGGCTTGTTGGCACCCTGGAAATTCCTGCTGGTGGTCCTGGTTGTTAAGCTGCCTCAGGTACCTCAGAAGCAGAGAGGCCTGCAGGTGAAATGGCCAGGAAGCACCACTGCTGCCAGGTGGGCTCACATGTTTAACAAGAACCATCTGATGGAACAATGACAGAAAGGTTTGAATTGAATGAGATCTTTAAAGGTCATCTGGCTTCAAGCCCCTGCCACATGAAGGGACTCCTTCCACTAGACCAGATTGCTCAAAGCCCTATCCAACCTGGCCATGAAGACTTCCAGTGACAGGGTGTTCATCACTTCCCTGGACAACCTGTTCCAGTGCCTCACTCCCCTCATTTTAAAATGTTCTTATACACAATCCAAATCCTCTTTCAGTTTAAAACTGTTGCTCCTTGTCCTATCACTACAAGCCCTGGTAAAATGTCCCTCTCCAGCTCACCCAGAGACCTCTAGGTAGGGGAAAGGTGCTCTGAGGTCCCCCAGAGCCTCCTCCCGGCTGAACAGCCCCAGCTCTCGCTGCCTTTTCTCACAGCAGAGGTGCTCCAGCCCCCTGCCCGTGGCTGCGGGCCCGCTCCGGACCCGCTCTGGGAGCTGCCCGCCGGCCCGGAGGCGCTCGGTGCTCGGGGCGCTCTCCCAGGCCGCGGGGCACAGCGGGCGCTCCGGGCCCCGCACCGGGCCGTGACCGGGCGGGAGCGGCCCCGAGAGCGGCCGGCACGGGGCTCAGGCAGAGGGACCGGCCGCTCCTGCCCGGTGCCCGCGCGCTGCCGCATCCCGCCCGCCGTCGGCCGGCTCCTGCCGCCTGTGTGCGGACACCTCGTGTGCGGGTTCGGGAGAGCCTCAGGTGGAGCAGCCAGCGAGCAGGACCAGAGCTGTGCACCAGCAGCACGGCCGTCCTCAGGGCTCCTGCGGCCAGGAACTGCGGCTGTACAAGCAGCTACAGGTACCCGCGGGAGGGATCCATGGGCGCGTGTGTGCGCCCAGCAGAACGAGGGATGCAGCTCCACGGCTGGCTGACCAAGGACATGGTGCTGGCAACAGCCCCACAACTACCGGCTGCAGCACCGCCGGCACCAAACCCTGCTCCAGAAGGACGAGACGCCTTCAGCTCTGCTCCAGTAGTGGTCCACAGGGCACCTGACACAGGGTGGGGTGGTGCGGGATGGCCAGGAGGTGGCTTCCCGGACTTTGAGAAGTGTCAGCTGACTTTTCCAAGCAAATCCACATGATCAGTCCCTGCATGAAGTGGAGCCAAGTGCAAGGACACTGCCACAGATAGAACCATTGTATTTTAGGTTTGGGAGTGTGTTCTGGCACGCAGCAACACAGGCTGTGCCTGGTATGTGCCCTCTGCTCCTGCCCATACCCAGGAGATGTCACCATAATGCACAAGCCTGTCCAGTGGACCATCTGTCCCATAGCAAAATTTTTAATTCTGAGAAGGTGGGAGCTGGGTTTTGAGAGGACAGATGCCACCAGAGTCAGATCTGAGCCATGAACTCCACAGTCCAGGCAGCAGGAAGCACAACGGCATGTAAAGGGATCACCAGCACAAGGACATCATGACAGCTCCCCTGTCTCTTTCTCATCCCTGAAATGAGTTCAGACTTCTGTATTTGGGACTGAAACACAAAGGACCAGTTAAGGATGACATGGTCTCCCTCCACCTTTCCAAGTGGCAAGCCATGCCTACCTATCTTTGGTGCATCACTGAGCTACTTCTTGCTTGACAATAGTCAGAGCTGCCTCCAAGCTTCCCAGCTTTCTAGGGTGAATTCTCCTGGCCCCCAGCTGCTAACACAATCATCAAAACAGCTCTGGGATCTGCTCCACTGTGCCACTCAGCCAGGAACACACTGGCCTGTTCAGCCCTGGCAGATGCTGCCACAGTGCTGACCCAAACAGAGCTACAGGAGGACAGCATACGCAAAGGTAACATTTACTGAGAGATACAGAACTGAGTATTATGAAGGACATACATGGATGGAGAGGGTGGCGACACCACTGCAGAGGGCAGCTTGGGCCCCGTTCCCAGCATGCCAGGAAAGGAGCTGGATGCTACCGGACAAGTAACACAATGGAGATAACTGTGGCATATGTGTTTGTAACAAACAGACCATTATAACATACATTTCTATGGGATCACATCTAGTGATTATATAAATCCATATAGAGATCACTGTATAAAAACTTTGTAAAAAATACTTTAAAAAAGTGTAAAAATGTGCATTCAAAAGCACGGCCGACACAGACAGCTGGGCTGTAAACATTATACTGAGTGTGCTTGTGGGGGGCGCCTGCGCCACCGAGCCCCGACAGGCCTGCCCGCCAGACGGGGCTGCATCAAGTGTTTGTGGTTCTTGGGTGTGGGTTTCCTCTGGAGCATGTGCCAGGAGCAGCAGCAGCCTCTGGGCAGGGTGCTGGTGGGCACTGCCCAGCTGCCACGCCTCAGCCTGCGGCCCCTGCTACCCACAGGCTGCGTGCTCCTCGCAGGACACGCTGTGGTTTTGTGTGTCCCAGGGCTGAGAGCAGGCTGAAGGGTGTGCTGACCTATCACAGGGAGGTTGCCCTCACTGGCACCGCCAGCTCTGCTCCTAGGTTCAGCCTCAGAGTACATGGCTGGCAGGTTCCTGATCTTCTCTGTTCCCATGTTTGGTCCATAGTTCCCAAGGAAGCCCACTGGGTCCTGGCTGCACCAGGCCTGGGTGCACAGTTCTTCATACAGTACATACATTAAAGACCCTGGAAGACCCTGTGCCACTGTCTCCTCCTCCTGGCCCTGTGCCACCTTCACTTCTTCTCTAGCTGCTCCAGCAGTGGGTTGGCTTCACTCTCAGGCGTCTTGATGCTGTCTGTCCGCACAATGCAGGTGGGACGGTGCCGGTTCAGCATCAGGATGAGCTGCTGCCTCTCCTGTTTCAGCTCTTCTATCTGGGCCTTCAGCTCAGCATTCATGAGTTCTAGACGCTCGGACTCCTAGCAGAACAGGAACACAACCGCATGTGACTTTATCTAGCAGGACAAGATACAAGAAACAATTTGGCCAACATGCCACCTCTGCTTAGAGCTGTCCCTCAGCCCCTGCAGCAGGGGGCTGAAGACCTGCCAAGGCATTACATCCCTCCAGGCAGTTCATCCCCAGCCCTGCTGCCTTGTGCTTGGCACTTAGTGCTGTCACACAGAAACACACAGCCACCACCTGGGGCAGGTCTCTGCTGCACCCCAGCAAAACCTGTGCCCGGCTGCTTTCTGTGGTCTGGTAAGGTGTTTGGGAGCAAACCCATGGTGAAGTTTTCACCCAGCCCATCTGTAAGCATCTGCCCGTATGAAATCACTCCTTCCAAGTTGTGTCATCTGCCCATGCCTCACCACTGTTTGCAGAAAAACAGCAAGGTGCTGTGACAGTTTTTCTGCCCTCGGGTTAGAGGTGGAGTAGACATCTGGCCTCCGAGTGGGAAAATCTTTAGGACTTCGGTCAAGGGGCCAGCACATTGCCAGCCCGTCCTGTGCCACACTCACATGGGTATCCCTGCTCCAGCACTAAGACAGAGACATTATTATTCCTCTCTCACTGCAAGCCCAGAGCCAACCTCCAGCCCACTCCAGCCCTGGTACCATGGGTAAGCTCTGCCTGGGCATGAACATGGTCACCACCTTCACAGCCTCACGAAAAGCAGGGGCTGTATTTTCCCAGATAAAGGCACTGGAGCAAGGGGTGGCAGAGGGGAAGCTCAGGAGGCAATGCTTCCTGCAGCTGGAGCACTGTTCTAGGGAAGTCCCTGTTGTGCCCTGGGACAGATTGGGGCACCCACCCGCTGCAGGAACTCCGTCCTCTCCTTCTTCTTGTTACGACATCGTGCTGCCGCTACTTTGTTTTTCTCCCGGCGCCTTTTCCTCCTCTCTTCTTCCTCATCCAGCTATAACAAGACAGAGAAACCCAGATCAGAGTTGGGGCAGGAGGTAGTGGTGAGCACCTGGCAGCCCCACCCATGGCAGGGCAATGTGGCAGCCACCTGGTCACGAGCCACCAGCAACATGACTTAATCCTCACTGGAACCAGGTATGCTGCTGCTACAGCCTCTGCCTCCACTTTGTGGGAACACAGAGAGGGTGACCTGTATCCACAGCTGAGGACACGGCTGGTAGGGGACAGACAACCCTTCACAGGGATGCTCCCTCCCTGAGAGAGGGAAGAGACAGAGAATAGAGCCCCCTCCCAGAAACACGGGTGGTTTGTCACAATACAGGCTCGGCTCTGTGAGCACAGACATTGAAAGCATCACACACAGCCAAGGTCAAGAGGCAGAAAATCCCAGAAGATACCCCAGCTGGGCCTGCCCCATTCCAGCGTCTGGGACTGTCTGCTGCAGCACTGTCTGAGTCACGGGGCCACCACAGTAAGGTGGGGACAGGTCCTGCATCCCCTGTAAGGAGGCAGGACACAGCAGTACCTGCACTGTTTGCCATGACTCAGTTCTCTGTGCTCTTTGACTCAATCCACACAGGCCAAGCCAACAGGGCTAGAAAACCATAATCAAAGTATTTACAGATATATGCTGCAAAGCCTATGTAAATGGCCAATGGCATGCCTACATCCAAGAACAGAAACTAGCGCCTTCAAGAAAAATCTGAGTGCTGGAAAGCCCTGCAAAGTCAGGTTACACTCTGTAGCATGGATAGAGAAGAAAAGGTCCCCAGTGCCTTCATCCACATTTGGCCTGGGTCTCTGAAATTTGAGGCGTCAGAATGAACTGCCTCATTCCTATTGACTGATACCTGGTGGCCATAAGATCACCCCACATGCAGACACACCAGCAGTGCCTGATGGTAATGAAGGCTGCAGGTGCCATCATCCACAGTAGACTGTGCACACTGCTGACAGTCACCAAGTCCAAAACCCACTAATCAAAACATGCCAGTGTGATGCACAAGGACTAGATGAAACCTGGACTCAGCAAAGGCAGGGTGAAGGGGCAGCCTAAGTAAGCTGCGTGTCCAATACACAGCACAGAGCACGCTGTGGAAGGCAATGTCTGAGCTTTATAGCACAAAGAGTTTTGCATCTTTTCTACCTTGCTTTGCAAGCATTATACCACAGCTGCTATTTCAGCTGGGGCGAAAATATTAAGCAAAGCCAGCACAAGCTATGCACAGACTTCCATCATGCCAGGCTGCCACCATTCCCATGAGAAGGCAGTGTCATGGGGCACCAATGTACCACACTCCAGAGAATTGGATGGGAACTGCACTGATACCCCCAAGTCCAGTCAGAAATGGACAGCTCACACTGCACCCACATAGATGTGACAGGTTAGAACTAATCTGGAAAGCACTAAATCTACATTCTGCTGCCAGGTCTTACAAAAGTTCCTGGCAGAAATTAAGAGAAGGTGAACATCAAGGTAGATGCAATTTACCTTGCACACTTACCCTCTACTCATCTACCCCTAAGACAGCTTCTTGGTCTGTTAGTTCAAGGATTACTAGGAGGGTGCATAGAGGTCACATATGCTCACAGCTCCAAAGCTCAAAAAACACCCCCAAACTTGGCTTCAAAAGTACATCTTGGGGCATAACACCAACTGGAAAGCAACCACCAACTGCACCAGCCCTGGAAACTGCCTGACATTTCCATGCCCATTGGCCCATTCAACTGGAATTAGAGAATAAGTGATCTGTCTCTGACTCTGCCTCCACCCCACAGAGGGCTCAGCAAAGGTCTGTGTCCTTTAGATGGAATACAGATGCCCAAGAAAGGTGGCTCAACACAGATAGAAGAAGCGAGAACCCTTGGTTCTGCTTTTTGACCACAGCTCCTGTGGCTTCATAGAAATATAGAAAGGTTTGGAGATCACATAGTTCCAACCCCCCTGCCACAGGCAGGAACACCTTCCAGTACAGCAATTGCTAAAAGCCCCATCCAGCCTGGTCTTGAACACTTCCAGGTATGAGGAATCCACAAATTCTCAGGGCAGAGAAGTTCTCTTCTTCAAGACAGCAGGTTTTCCCCAACTGCATCTGCTTGATTTCAGTTCAAAAAGGTGACATGGCCCTGATGCTGAGGGTTAGGATGTTATTCAGAGGCACATGGGACAGTGATGGTGTATCACCCAACAGCATGTCCCAGCAGTTGATCTCCAGGGGATGGATCCCTGTGGGTAGAAGTCCCTGTGGGAATGCCTCCTGAACTGCTTCAGTCAGCAGCTGCCAAGACTTGAGGTGATCATCTGCCTGAGGGACAGGGCTCAGTCCAGAGGGAGCACCCCAGGTGGGATTCAGTGGTGGAGGACCCCAGCAGCATCTGTCTACACCTGTCCAAGAGGAGAGCAGCTTTCCCAGTGGGGCTGCCTATCACCCTGCAGAGAAGGTGGCCCACAACACCCACTGGGTGGGTTTTGTGGGTGCCCCCAGGCACAAACACCCCAATGCCAGGAGATGCTGGTGCCCCCAGCAGAGCAGAGAGAGCTGCCTTGCCCAGGCTCATGGCAAGCAGCCTGTCCTCCCAGCCACCACAGAGTGGCACACAGCATTCCTGGGCTCCAGCACCCTGCAAGAGGAAAGCAGCTGCAGGCTGCATTGCAAAACTGTGCGTGGGCAGCTTCTTGGCTACTCATGGGATAAGTAGCTACTGCTTCAGCTCCCTCAGGCTTTTGCTGCAAAGCCTTGCCAAGGGCAGCTCCATTTGCTGTCTTCAACTCCTCAGCTTCATGGGCCATGCAGGGGAGGAGCCAGCTGCATGGAAGGTAGCTGTGCAAGGGCTGTCAGTGGGCTTTCTCTTATCCTTCCTCTACATGGTGTGTAGAGGAACAGCTGGCTCAGAGGACACGCAGCAGTACCTGCTGTGGGGCAGAACTGCCCTGTCCCTGTCACACAGATGCCAGTGACATCACATACCTATGACCACAAAAAGCAAAAGCAGCGGTTGCAGGGACAGCTCTGAAGTGCCCAAAATGCCCCAGGAAAGGAGCTGGGCCTGGGAAGACAGCATAGCCCCAGAATCACCCTCTTTCTTCTCCAACCCGTGAAGCAAGGCAGGCACTGCAGACCATTTGCTGCAATAATACCCAGGCGAAGAGCTTGGAAGAGAATTTGGCTTCAGCTGCAAATCTGTGACTTGCCCATAGAGTAATGTAAGCCATTAGCATCCCCAGAGCCTCACAATGGTCTCCCACCGTATCCTAGCCTCAGCTCTTCCCACTGCAGAGCTGTCCAAGTCCTTCCCAGGCAACATCCAGGCTGCACAAGCTGACTGGACACTCTTTGGGCAGAGCTCCTATGCAAGGTGATCAGATGAGCTACATCATACCAGTTCTACCCACAGAGTCCACCTCAAACGGCTGGAGGGAAAGAACAGGGATGCTCTGCACAGGTGAGCCTGGCTGCTGCTGAGCTCCTGCCAAAAAATTGGGCTAAATTAAGTGTCAGCACCATTTGGAGAGCAGGTTGCCCACTGGAACTCCTATTTTACTCCTTTCGGCTCACAGCTCATCAGAGGCAGCTTTTCACATCATCCAGCACCTCCTTGCTCATGCTGCCAGAGAACACAAATCACCCCATCCTCACATGGCATCATCTGAGGTAACCTCACACAGAGCAAATGCTCTGTTCAGAAGGCTGTTTATGGGACCTTCTGACCGCAGCCAGCACCCTGCCAGCGTGGGACCTCTGAAATGGTGGGTTCCCAGCTCCATCTGCAGGCAGCAGGAGGTGCAAACACTCACCACCAGTTCAGCTGCAGTCACAGACTGGACAACCAACACATGGGACATAAGGAAAACACTGTCCAAGCATCTCCTGCTTCTGACATGGCAGCCTGTGGTACCGAGCAGAAACTACCCACCTTCTCCATCCCAGGAAACTCGAGGTGAAGCCAGGGCCCACCCCAAGCAATGGGACAGGGGCAGCTCCCAGCCAGCAGCGCCTGTGGCACAGGCTGAGTCACTGCCCCACACACCCCATTCCCGCTGGAGAGGCACCACAATGCCAGAAGCACCAAGGGCTTGTTGACATGGGTGACAGGCTGTGTGACTTCTACGCTGGGTGCATGCCCCAGCCTAGGGACACGTTGGTTGCAGCAGACCCCCACACGCAGGGATTGAGTTCAGATGGCTGCCAATTCCTGCATTGCACCAGTCAGGTCTGGAATGCTGAGGCTACCATTGCCAGCCAGGGACAGGAAATCAGGCAGGGAGAAGAGGCAGCCAGTGGAGCAGCTGCTAACATGCACGCACACCACCAAACATCAGGGTTTGAGTTCAGATGGCTGCCAATTGCTGCATTGGACCAGGTCTGGAATGCTGAGGCTACCACTGCCAGCCAGGGACAGGAAATCAGGCAGGGAGAAGAGGCAGCCAGTGGAGCAGCTGCTAACATGCACGCACACCACCAAACAGGCAGCTTATAAACCAGGCTGCTGGCCACTGCTGCGACAGCCAAGCACAGGCAGGAGGGAAACCCAGGCAAATGCAGACAACAGCCCTGCAGGGCCACCTGCAGCCAGCAGCCTGCAATACTCACCTCACTTTTGACAGGCTGGGGTCTCTTGCCAAGCTTCACCTCCAGGAACTGGAGCGGCGAGATCATGGCGCCGATGTTGCGGATGTCAGCGCACTTGAGCTCCTCGGCGGTCAGGGCCGTGCCAGGCAGGCCTGTCAAGGGCCCGAGGCCGGGCAGCGCACCAGCCGTCAGCGACGGGTCGGGGATCTGCCCTGGCATCATAGCAGGGGAAACAGCTTCCCAGGCTGCAGGGGACAGAGACATCCCGTTACAACCCGCTTACAGGGCCGCATGACACAGCACGGGACAAACTCATGCTACAGACACATCACCTACAGGGGCAGACATTCTCCCCTCTGCAAAGGCAGAGAATAAGCAGAATCTGTATTATAGAAACCAAAATATAAGAATCCTGCCAGGAAGAATAGGCTACTGGGGTGTGGGTCAGGAAGAGAGGAGACCTGAGAGGCAAAGCAGCAGAAGAACAGGAGCTGGCTGCAACAACAGTGATGTGATCCCATGGACACCTTTCTCTGGAGTACAGCGGATCAAGGTTTGCTTTTAGCTGAATTTTGATTAATTAATATGTGGATTATTAGTTCAAGAAGAAAACGGCACAAATAGGACCATAATATGCCCTAGGCTGGATTCCTTCTGGGCAGGCTCAGCCACTGGTCAGGGCTGGGACACAGCACACAAAGACCATGGATAAAACTGCAAGGAAAAAAAAAACAAAAACGCCACTGTACAAACATCTCTCAGCACAGACATGAGGAAACAAAGGCTGGAGGGGAAGGGAAATGGTGCAAGGTTCAAAAGTCCTCTTCTATCATGAAAGAAAAAAAGTGAGAATAGGATCAGGGCAAACTTCAGCAAGTCACTTATAGGGAGGTGAAAGGGAGTTATCAATAAGTATGAAGAACAAGCAGCAAAGATATAATAAAATTAAACCTAAAATGGGAAGTCATAGAGCTGGAGCTGTTACATCAGTCCAAAAGCCACTGGAGCAGATGGTTGTTGGCTGCAATGCAGGTACATCCCTGCTGTGAAACTGGCCTGGGACACTCACAAGTTACCTGCTTACAACATTCAGAGTCACCTTCTGTCCACACAGCAGCCATTTACCCCTCTTCTTCAACTCAACCACATGTCCCAGTGTGTGTGCACTGCTCCCCTTGCTCTGCCCATCCAGAGAAGTCCCAGCACACTGTAGGAGCCTCCACCCCCTTCTGCCCCTGTGCAGGAGGCACCAACACAGCAGGGATAAGGACCAGCAATGTCAAGAGAGAAACAGACTAAAGGAGTGGACCCAAAATCTCAGTGTGCAGCTTCCTGCAACCACAAGAGCCAGTCAGAAGGCAGGATTCAACAAACAGCTGGGGAAACTCACGGAGGCTCTCACAGCACCAAGTGTCAGAGAAAGGAGGAGCATTAAATGAGGGATAACATGCACTGGCCCTGCTCTTTCCAAAGCATCCACTCTCATCTGCTGAGAGAGCAGGTAACAGGTGATAGAGACTTTTGGCCCAGGCAGCACAGTTGTGCACTCATGCACACACACTTAGCCAAGCCAGCTGCTCAGCACTTGTGACAAGGTGACAAATCTATCTCAGTACCAGGCTGAAAACTTGAGAAAAGCTGCATGTGAGATAAACTGCTGGATCACAGAATCACAGAAAGTTGAGGCTGGGAGGGATCTCTGGAGATTGCATGGTCCAACTGCCCTGCTCAGGTGGAGTAGGTGGGAGCAGGCTGAACAGGGTTAATCGTGACAAACAGAGAAGTTAAGGATTTCTTGGCACTGGCACATCTCTTTACCCATGAGATTATTTGATATATTTGTTAACATGAAGGAACCAGAGATAAGCAGCAGAAGGAAAGGAAAAACAAGCACAGAGACTAGTCAAGGGCAGAGAGGCTAATGCAAGCTCCACAGCATCCAGCACGGGTGCTGTGCAAGCTGTATTGGTGTGACAGACAGAATGATTTGCAGCAGAGAGTGTCTACAACCTGCAATGAGCTGTGAGCTGTCAAACAGTCTAATCTGCCAGTGAAGAGGTCCAGGTGTCAGCATGAGATGTCCCCTGGCAGGGTTTGCTCAGCTGTGACCAAGAATTGGGAAAGAGCAGGGAAAGCAGATGCAGCAAGACAGAAACCATAAAGAGGAATCAAGCCCTCTGCTCCAGTCATCCTTTAGGAGACCAGAAAGGGGAGAGCAAGCCAGTGTTCAGCAGTGCTGGGAGCACTGCTGTGGGGAGAGGAAGCTGGGTAGGGAGGAGGTGGTCTGCATAAGGTGATTAAAGCCTGAAGAGAAGATAGGAAAAACAGACAAGTAACTTTCCAAGAGAAGAGCTACTACCTGATGAAATGCACTCCTGCCCATTTGATGACAGAAAAGAAAGAGAAAATACTTGGTAATGATACTTGACCTCAGAAAAGACTGCAAGTCAACTCCCTGAGACTGCAAGAACCTTAACTGATGGAAAGTATTCATTCTTCCACAGAGATCTCTAAACTAGAAAAATGTAATTCCACATCTGTAGTGGAATCTTGTACTGACATCTTGTACCAGAATCTGCACCAACATCTTGTAAGGTGCCCAGAGATGCCCAATGCAGCTGGGCTCTGAAGCTGCACACTACCTCCCTCCCCCTTCCTTTCAGGCCTACACATGGCTAAGATGCTTCACCCCTCCAGAAAAAAGTACCATCACACCCTGAGGCTGCACTCCAGACAGGAAAACACAAGTTATTTAGGGAGTGTGGCTAAATCCCTACTACCTTCCTCAGAGATCATCCCTCTCCAGCAGGAAGGCACCAGGTCAATGAGGTGGCATAAGAAAGGGGAGGTGAATCTAGAGGTTCTTCCCAGGACTCCCTGCCACAAGACAGAGCTGTATGGAGTTAAATCCAGTCTTCCATTTTGGGATAGCTGTATACACTGCAGAGCTGGCCATTTCCCTGACGCTGCCACCAAGGTGACATGCTGTGGCACTGGGGAAGGCACCTGCCAACAGCAGCACGGCCCAAGCCAGCAATCCCACAGATATGTGCCCCCAGCTTGAACAGCTTACATCAAAATTTAAAAAATAAAATAGAAAAATAATCAGTAGCAAAACTATTAGGAGCATTCACTTGAAGTCTCTCACAGACTGATTTGGGGCTCTGACCCACCCTTTCACAGGCTTCAGGATGAGAATTTACTTGAACCCAGCAATGGAGGCCAAAATCCATTCTGGACTTGGAGGGCTTGGTTTTAATTTATTCATAGAATCATAGAATAGGCTGAGTTGGAGGAACCCATCAGGATCATTGAGTCCAGCTCCTGACACTGCACAGGACAGCCCAAGAGTCACACCATGTACCTCAGACTGTTGTTCAGACACTTACTGAACTCTGTCAGGCTTGGTTCTGTGACCACTTCCGTGGGGAGCCTGTTCCAGTGCTCAACCACCTTCTGGATGAAAAACCTTTTTCTGATATCCAACCTAAACCTCCCCTGCCTCAGCTTCATGCCATTTCCTCAAGTCCTGTCACTGGTCACAAGAGTACCTGTTCCTCCTCTTCCCCTCACAAGGAAGTTGTAGACTGCAGTGAGGTCTCCCCTCAGTCTGTTTTTCTCCAGGCTGAACAGACCAAGTGACCTCAGCCACTCCTCCTGCAGTTTCCCCTCCAGGCCCATCACCATCCTCATGGCACTCCTTTGGATGCCCTCTAATCACTTAATCCCTTTTCTCTATTGTGGTGCCCAAAACTGCTCACAGTATTCAAGGTGAGGCCACACATGTGTGGGGTAGAGCAGGACAATCCCATCCCGTGACTGGCTGGCCATGCTGTGCTTCATTTTCTTCCATCACAACATGCAGTTGACAGCACCCAGGCTAGACAGTCCAGGTCCTCAGGCAGACTGAATAGAGAGTCACTGCAATTTATGAAATAAGGAGCAAGGAGAAATCCATTCTTCAGGCTGTGGGACCTGACCACTCAGCACCCTCCCCCATGCACTCCTGAGCCTGGGCAGGTTCCTGGGGACAAGTGGCTAAAGATTTGAAAAGACACTTTGTTTTCTCCAGCACATCTTCTCCTTCTGCATCTCTGATCTGGTAGCTTGATATGCCTTGAAATAGCCTCTGTACCAGCGTAACACACAACACAGGTCAGAGTGAAGGGGCTGGCCCAGTATCCAATATGCTCTAAAAATTCATCCTGGATCCAGGGACTGCAGTGCCAAAGCCCAAATGATACCTGCACAGTGTAAACTAAATCTTAAGTTCATCAAACCAAAGTGCCAGAAGCCTTCTGGATAATCATAAACCTGCACATTAAGATGAACTGAGAACTAAGTAGAAAGCAGGGAAAGTGCCTTCTACAGGTGAGAGCTTGCTCAGGGGTCAGAAAGCTCAGGAGCACATTGAGAACTGCCAAGAGTCAAGCTGAATTAGACCTTGGAGAGGAACCTAACACCATTCCCAGCAGGGCTATAACCATGGAAATAAAAAGGAATGAGGAGAGGTGCCATCCCTCTCTGCAGAGCAGGTGTGCAATAACAGATCATCTCCCCAGTTCTTGAGGGCCCTCAGCCCTAGCTCTGCCACTCCTGCTGACTGGAAGGACTCAAACTTGAACAACCTCTAAGTTTGTTCCACTCCTTTGCTTCTTCCTAATGTAAGCACAACTTTCTTTTCATCCCAAGTCCCAGATACTTTCCCATTCTTTTCCAGTGAGTGCCAGAGGGAAGTTGTACTTTAATCATGTAAAAAAGCCAGAGTATGGAATTCTATGTAATACTTTGGTCTTCCTCCCAAAGCCATTATCCTGGCAGACATGGACATGCCTACCTACAGTTCCAGCATACTGGTACCACGTTCACATGGTAGGGCAGAACTTTAAAGTTCAGGATCTGAGTCTGACCTTTAAGTTGCAGCTCTTCAACAGCCACATCTGGCTGGATGGGGTGAATACAGCTGGTCCCTTGCCAATTCTTAGTTAGTTTCTGGATATTCCCTTGCAGCATCTGCTATTTCTAAGGCACATGAACTAACGCCTTGCCAATTCTTAGTTTCTGGATATTCCCTTGCAGCATCTGCTATTTCTAAGGCACATGAACTAACTCACCTCTGTATTTATTCACTTTCCAACACAGTGCTTTAGTTGGGATTCTTTTTTTTTTTTCTTTCTTTTCAGAACTGAGTAATAACACAGCCTTTTTCCCTCAATGCCAGGTGGTCTTTCAACATCTCCTTACATGAACTTGGAAATATCATGTCTCCAGTAAAACCTAGCTTTCCAGTGTCCTACATTTGAACCACACAATTCCTTTGTAGGCATTGTACCAGCTATGCTTTTTCACATAATGAAGCCAATAGCTTTTTCACATAATGAAGCCAATAGCAGCACATCAAGGGAAAAAGAATGTGCA